GCTATCATACACTTAATCATGATTATTTAATTGGTTAACCATTTACAGCGTTGTTTTTTTTACCCTGGTACTTATGTTTATAGTCCTTTATACACACTCTTTTAGCTCATATTTTATGCACACACACACACACACACACTATCACTCACACAATGTGTGCCAACACAGGCCGACAAATACCGGGGCCAAAGTGCTCGGGACCGGTCGATGCCATACCTGAGCCCAATGGCTTAAAATACGGGCCACAAAGCCCAACGCCCTCTGCAGCGGTGATAGCGAGGCCGGAGAAGGACTGACACCCCCTCTGCCGTGGGATAAGGGCCGGGCAACTCGTGACGCAAGTTGTGCCGGCATAGCACATAAAAGGGGTGCACGTAATTTTTTTTTCACCCTCTCTCTCTCTCGCTCTCTACTATTGCCATCTATGGCACAACAGCAACAACAACAGCACTGGCAACACAACCGCCATTGTGTGTCACAACACACCAGTGCTGGCAATACCATCGCCACCAGTGCTCACACTTTCGAGCCATTAATCCACAGATCAGTCCATAAACTGAGACACACTATACGGACAAATCATTCATACAATAAGTTCATCGCTTCCAACACAAGACATCGTCACACAATTGGATCCAATCATCACATCTCTGGTAAGTGTTTGTGAATTACATTTAAAAAACGTGTTTTTCATTTGTTATGAAATCTATTGCCAGAAATGTCATCAAAACTGTTGAAACCGTTACCACTGGTGGATGTGATAACCGAAGACATGCCTATCATTCATATGCTTTACGGACAATACAAAGACGAATATTGCGATAATTGTGTCAAACGATTGGATCAATTGAAGCGATGCTCGAAATGTCTTCACATGTATTACTGTAGTAAAGAGTGTCAGAGGAATGACTGGAAGTATTACAAGAATGAGTGCAAACTCTATGGCCAGAAATGTCATCAAAACTGTCAAACCGTTATCACCGATGGATGTGATCACTCAAGATATGAGCGCCGACCACACCATCATTTGTACGGCCAACACATGAGCGCCGGAGATGTGATCACTCAAGACATGCCTATCATTCATGTATTGAATGTGAAATTCAAAGACAAATATTGCGATAATTGTGTCCAAAAATCGGATCAATTGAAGAGATACACGAAATGTCTTCACATGTATTATAGCGGTAAAGAGTGTCAGAAGAATGATTGGAAGTATCACATGAATGAGTGTTCACTCTATAGCGATGGCCACGAGTTGTCCCGTAAACTGATGTCCAATAATTGGCTCAGACTTTGGCTCCGACTTTACGTTTCGGTGCAAAACATCCCAAACTTTGTCACAAAAAAGTACTGATTGTTTGACGGATCGGATGTCAGTCTCAGAGATATCAAAGTCAATGTGAATGAAAAGAGAGAGCATTTGTGGGAGATTTGCAATCTATTCATACAATTGGGTGTGAAATACGACTTTCAAGAAGTGGTCCATTGGTTGGCATTCGTGGCAACTGTTCCCGCATTTCAGCTCAAATCACATCTAAAGATCGGTTGTATTGGTCGCGGACTATATATGAGAGACACCACTCTTCGGCACAGCTGTCAGCCCAACAGTGCCTTCATTTACAACAGCAGAGGTATAGCAACCATACATTTTAGTGTTGATTGGTTTGAGTTAACACATTTCATACATTAATCCACAGATCAGTCCATAAACTGTGAGACACTTTTCGGACAACTCTTTCATACCATAAGTCCATTGCTTCCAACACAATACAGCACTCGGGCGCCGGGCATCGGATCGCCGACTGGAGCTCAACACTTGGGCGCAGGCAATGCTATTGCCAAACGCGGCCATCACATGAGCGCCGGGCATCTGATCGCCAACTGGAGCTCAACACAGTGCTGGCCAGGGATTCACACCCCCTGTGCCATAAAACAATTCATTAAAACAGCCGGTAAGGGATTTACAACCCCTTCGCCGGCAAACTTTTTATAAATATTTATAAATTATTTTTACACTATTATTTATATACAATTTTATACACTGTGTTACACACATTTCTTATAAACATTTCTTACACACAACTCTATTCTATACTATACCGGGTAGACGCGCAGCGATAATAAATTTATAATAATAATAAATAATAATGAATAATAATAAATAATAATAATAATAATAAATAATAATAATTAAAGTAATAACAATAATCATCATTTATGCAACATTAATAATAATAATAATAAACGTAATAACAATATTCATAATATAATCAACATTAATGATAAAAGTAGTAATTTTAAGTAATTATTTAAGTATTTGAAAAGTATTTATTATTATTAATGAGGTAACCACTATTTACTGTTAATGATTAAACTAATAGTACAGCTCTTTAATTGTTAATTGCCGGAACGAGAAAACGTCTCCGTCGTCACGCTAGAAACAGGCAAATGCCTGGCCAATTTCTCGGTAAAGCTGTGCTTATGGCGTGATGCCGGCAAAACAATATAAGTGTTTTTGCAGCCAAACGGGGTGCTCACGCTCCGTGCGGTCTTGTCCCCGAGTGAGTGCGTCATGGGCGGTTCACCAGGCCCATCGCGTATCAATGCGAACTGGACGATCGATTGTAAATAATTTAAAGGGCGGCGGGTTTAAGAAACAGATCTTTGTGTGGACTAAAGAGACTGAGGGCATTCTCATAGAATGTGCCGAATTTGTAAAAAGTGTAAATAATGGAGAGTTGCCAATGAAGGCTTTGTTTGATAAATTTAAACAATCACTTATTGATAAACAAATTCAGTTTTATAAATCATCAATTAATCAGAATTCAATTAAAAGAAAATTATATTTATTACAAAATTCAACAGAACAAAAAGAACGAGTTAATCTTAAGTGGACTGACGAGAATAAAAAAATATTGATATGTTGTGGAGTTGAAGCTGAACTCCTCCATGAGCGCAATAAATCTATTGCTAAAGGAACACTTATGTATGATTTGTTTATGATTAAAGTTCCTGAATACAAATCAAGTCTTGAAAACCTTCAAACACATTTCAATAAGTTTAAAGACAAAATGTTGAGCGAAGATTTGGATAAAATATTCAAAGACATCGAAAACAGACTCACAGTTGAAGAAATCGAAAAACAAAACGAAACCAGAGATAACATCCCAAATGACGTGAGACAATTGCGCAAATGGAAAGACATCGGTTTAGAATTAGGAAAACAGCCACTGTTTAAAGCAATGTGCGCTAACTGCGGACAACTTCTCTTTGGTGACGGCAAAGAAAATGGTCGGTGGTGTACAGTGCGAGTAGAACCCAATCAAACTCCGCCAGTGTGCGCGAGATACGAACATATAAACAAAAACATCTCATATAAGAAATCGGAGAATGAATGGTATATTTGCAAGATATGCAAAAGAGATCCGAAAGGAGTTTTAGAAATGTTTGATGTTTTGAACCCGGTAACAAACACTATGACACTACCTCCAGAGTTGTCAGAACTCAAAGGTTGGCTTGAATTGTCATCGGTGGCGCTTATGGGTACATATCATACTATTGCCAATAAACCCAAGCCAAAAGGTCGCCGATTCCAACATCATTTGGGTGATACTGAAATGATGTCTAAAAAAGACAACGCATTTCTCACTCTCTTCACATTAATGCAACAAAAGCTTAGTCAGACAACTGATGATTCTGATGAAAAGACTAACAAAAAAAGTGCAAGAAAACATCGCGTGAAAAGAGCTCTCCATTGGTTTAAAGAATGGAATCCTTTGTTTCAGAAATTTTATTCAAACTATGAGACACTTTTGCCATACATTGAAAAGAATCAAAATCCGTTTCTTCTATCAAAAGTGCCAAATCCGACAACAACAGATGGTACACCTCTGAACGAAAATATGGGTGACGAACAAGTAGGGACTTGGATCGCAGCCGAGAACTACACTGGCGATCATGATCCCGATGACGAAGAAGACTTTCCGGTCGGAGTCACACATCCGAAAGAGATTGACGAAAAACAATTAAGTAAACGTGAATTTCATAATCTTACTCGACCAGGTCTCAACAATAAAAATCTCGAAGCGCTGGCATATCCGCGGGATTATCCATCTGGTAAAGGATCGTTCAATCCAGATGGCAAACACAAACATCGCGAATATTGCAAGTGTTGCTTATTAAATTATGAACCGCGATGGCGACAAAACGAATTTTTCATACATTTTCAACTCAATAGATATGTTAAACAATCGCTTAAAGCACACAATAGAATTGTAATTACAAATGTAAAAACTGCTGTAGAAAAGCCGACTGCAGGTGATCTGAAAAAAGGCCAAAGTATGTATGACAAATACGGAGAACGAGTGCCGGCGAATATTCCCGGTTCGCAGAGTTACTGGTGGGCGGCATTACAAGAACTACACTCAATTAGTGTTGCCATGGGACGTGAACCAGACTATTTTGCAACAGTAACAACTAATGACAACTGGCCAGAAATACAGTTTGTGTTGAGACATGGAGCAGGTGGTGAACCGTGTGACATGTGTCCGCATGACGATGAATATGGAGAACCCGCAATACATAACGCAACTGAATGTTCAATCGCATTTCATCAGCGATGGATGAAATACAAAAAAAACAATCTTGACAAAGAAGGAGAATTGGGAAAAGTTGTACGTTATTGGTATCGACGAGAGTATCAGTGGCGAGGCGGCGGTCATATTCACTGTGCTATATGGGTTGACCCCGAAACCAAAAAACAAGATGTAGTGAAAGCGGAAATACCACGCGGTGGACCTGACAAAGAATTGCAAGAAGAACTGGAAATGCTCGTGAAAAGACATCAGATTCACACGTGTAGAGCAGACAAATGTTTTGTAGTCGGGCGCAAAAAGAAAAAAGTAAAGAACTGTCGTTTTGGATTCCCGTATCGCTACTGTGCGGAAACAATGCCACAAGAAGGCAGCCTTCGCAAACTATATCGTCGAAGATGTAAANAAACAATGCCACAAGAAGGCAGCCTTCGCAAACTATATCGTCGAAGATGTAAAGAAGATCAAAGAGTTGTGCCTTACAGTTACGGACTGTTGTTAACAATGCGCGCACACGTAAACATCCAAGAAGTGCAAGGAGCCGGTTGGGAGTTGTATTTGGCTAAATATATGACAAAACCAGAACCAATAAAGAAAGTGCAATGGAGCAAAAAAGTCTCTAAAGACGCCTCAGATGTCGAGAGATTTCTGAAAATGAGACTCATTGGATCGGTTGAGGCTAATGATCACATGCTTCAGTTCCCCGCTAAGAGTTCAAATATTGAAGTCATATATCTCCCGATTGAACTTCCCGGCGATGTAGAAAGACTGGTGCTCAAACGGAACAAAGATTTGCCATCCGATCCCAATTCAGAAGACGTATACTATTTCTCAAAAATTGACAAATATGTCGATCGACCAACTAATCTCAGACATTTAACATATCCCGACTATTTTAAAGATTACACCTTAAGATCAGCACAAAAATTTGAAA